ATTTAGAAGCCGCAAATATATGGAAGGATGTATGGATAGACATAGAAAATGAAATAACACAAAAATTAAAAACTGAATTGACAAAATTATATCAAAAACAAAATAATAAAATAAAAATATTACGAGACAAAATAAGAAACAAATATAATAACAAATTTCAACAAAACGAACCACCACACCCTTTCGCATATCGCATAAAAAATTTAACTAATATCCAATTCACACAAAACAAATATAATAACCAGACTTGTCTATGTATAGCTTATACAGTGTAGACTAGGCGGGTTATTATAAATTATTAATTGGAAAGAAAGCGGTTGTAACCTTAGTTTAAATTATCTACTATCCGTCCGCCAAGAGAAATCTGCTGGGAGCAGGAGAAGGGATGATGTAACCGCGCTTGCGCAGTCCTACTATTCCCATTTCAAGAACATTGTACGCCAGTAGTTCCTAGAGTCGCAGTGCTTTGTGCGTACGAACAGCGGTGTGGAAGTAGACTCATGTTTTGTAAAAGATTATAGCCATCCATGTCCATCTCAGTCCCAGCGGACTTCTCGTGCTGTCCTACCATTTGTAAGGAACAACTGAGGTAAACCATAAACATATTTCTAGAAATATTTACACATTGTCTTCATTGGTTCGTATCTGGTGCCTGAACAGCTGACCGCTGCATTTTACTGTGGAGAATGTCGATTGTGGTCCAATGGGTTATGGCTTCTCCATTTGAAGGTGATGCCTTCGTCTGGAATCCTGGTAACCACTTACAAGACTACAGGGTGTCACAAACCAATAGATCACCATCGACTGGTAGAGGATGTTCGTACTGACAAAATAATATCTGTTGTACCAACTCGAAAATAATTATGCTTGGAAGTACATAATGATCTCGAACGTGATTCCCTTATTAAAACACCAAACACTAAGCCTTAACAATATCGTGGCAACACAGATGGACTGTTTGCTGTTTCAAAAGTAGGTTTATAGGACCCTCGTAGCGTGTCTTTAAGTGCCTAACTTACTTCATGGATCCTAGGCCTTCCTAAGAAGCTAACAGTCGCTCAGCCACTCAAGAAATTTCCAACATTTTATGGAACCAGAAAGTTCATTATCGTTCCTTATCCTTAGGCAGATAAATCCAGTGCCTACGAGCCAAAGGTCTATTCATCGTATTCCTATTTTACTATGTTAAATGGGTCCAGTTGCTGGCTGTTGCAGACATGAAATTGAACCTTTGGGTTCCATAAATGAGTGGAATTTCTTCGTTTAGGGAATTTATATTTTCGTCTTACTTCTATTGAATGAGACTCTAGTGAAATAACTTTGACGTAGTTTTTGCATGCTAGGCCAAAGCAGAGGCGTCTAGACGTAAGCTGGTTTTTCGCCGTAGAGTCCCGAGTTCAGTCCCGGGTGACTTTAAGTAAGATTTGTGGCGAATAAAGTGTTTCTTAAGCAGATTTTTCCCCCGAAGACTTTCACCTAATTTCTCTTTATTTTCCACTTTCCCTAGTCATCATCACGACAGTTCGCCGCATCCTGGACCCCAAGTTATGGGTTTCACTCCTGAACAAGCTGGCCTCGGTGTGAAATCAGTTTACATAAATATTATTAATAATAGTAATACTAGTAATCGTAATAATACTAATTATAATAGTAATAAAATAGCTTCAGTTCCTAGCATTCATTATAACAGAATATGTAATAATAAGTTCTAATTTGAATTAAACAAAATTAACAAACGAAACCTTATGAAACTTTCTTCGCTTAAAATTTCTACAGATTTTGGTAGAATATTGTCATCGTTACTGAATTATTTTTCAAAGCAGGGAAACCTCAGCTAATTTTCCCCACGAATCTTCCGATGTATATGGACTGAATATTCTTCGTTACGCGTTGAAACTTATTTAATTCCAAGCACAAATAAATTATATTGAAACACTATAAAGTTTTTGTATGCACGTAGTGATGTGAGTAATACAGATTTTGACGTAAATACAAATATTAAACAAAATTAAGCAATCCTGGAAATAAATCCTTGAAATAGACTATTTTTTATTCAAAATCCTTTCTCCGACGTCTATTACCGCCATACCCTCTGTAGTTGAACAGGGGCGAAAACTAACGTTAACCCAACGTAAAGTGGTTACAAGGGGTGGCCAGAATCATTGCATTATTTATTCTGTTCTCACTCCACTGTCAGATTCGGGTACTTTGACAGTGCATTTGTTGAAAAGAGACACGCACATACTCAGATGACACCGTTACCTGTGTTAAGACCTCATTTCGAGATACCGCATCCAAATAGACGCGTGTTCAGGGCAAGGATTCGGTCATTATGTATGTGACCGGGGCAGGATCAGACAGGCGTTATGTCCCGCTGATAGTTATTGGCATTTCATGAAACTTTGCGTTGGTTTAACCAATATTTAACCAGTGTTTCCAAAATGTTAAGAGACGCGCTTCACCTAATCAATAAATGACACGACATTTACATACCTGGTTTTAATCATAGTTATTGCATTTAGCCTATATGTGTGCTGTGAACCCGTGTTATTTTCATCTTTTGAGTTCGTAAATCTTGACAAAACCTGTTACCATGAAAGACACGGGCTTTTCCATGCCTAAGTAAACCGAGACGTAATTTCTGAGCGTTTAGTAAGGGTGTCTTTTTTTTATACTTGTAGATTCTTCCGTGTCCCGTTCGACGCGTCTTGGTGTGGGACTACGCTGCGGTTTGTGGCCTGCTGTCTTGGTCTCGCTGTTGGGATGTGGGCCCATGATTAGTAACAATTAACACTGAACCCCATCTCCTGCTACAAGTTATTCCAGTGAATTCAGTTTTACGCACACAGAGTCCAACTGCAAATATTTTCATTCTACTCAAATCAACTGAGCACAGTCCTTAACCGCAGTAATCACCAAACTGTACGCTTCAAGGCCACAGAAGGACTTCAAACCCCCCCTCCTTTCCGTGCATCTCTAAGTCACCAACAAAGTGTTGTTAGCTTTGCTAACCTGCTACTGCTAAGCTGTCTTCACTCGCCTGGCCTCAGCTTAAAACTTAAATGCAGATTTTGTCTGTGTTAATTGTCGACAGTGGCCATGTCTGGTTGATAAATATTTAATTACAAAGAATATAATTATTATTTCTAAAAATGTTAATGTCTCTTGTTTAAGCAATGTCATATTCTTATCTCCAATGATACTTAGTTATTGCTGTCAAAAATGAAAATTTATTTAATCAGCAATGTCTTCGTTCTATATTCTACAAGAAAATCTAAAAATAAGTTATACATTTTGTAAGATATGTTATAACACTTCAATTCAGGACCCTACGTTAAGTGTCGGTATATTTCATAAATTCCTGCTTCAGAATTGTTGTTATTATTGATTTTGGGAAATTAAAAGTGTCTTTGCATAAACTAAACTAAACTAAATAATACTAAAACTATCTAATTTTCATGAGATGATAAATTGCGTCATATTGTGATAAATATATATTTGTTTAAATCTTGTCAGTCAAATCACAATAAAATTCCTATTAAATATTAAAATATTACTAAAATTAACACTGTGTAAAAAGTGATGATCTAATGTAAAAAAGTCGTGTTAAAAGTGATGTTCTAATGTAAATCGAACATTTCGATAGAGAACATCATTTTAAATATTTAAATGTTAATTTTAGTAATATTTTAATATTCAATAGGACTTTTATTGTGATTTAACTGACAAGATTTAAACAAATATATATATAATTTTCGTCTATAAAAACGATTTATTTTTAACTTACGAAACTTTTCACTATAATCTATTATTTCTATAGAATTTTATAGCTTTATTTGTTTGAACTCTCTTCAGTTTCTTGTCGTCAGTCAATAAATTAGTTTATAAGTTTACGAAAAGTAACAGTACTTCCTGTGTAACTCTTCATGTAGCTGACGGTACTTGCAGTCTACAGTGTTGATTGGTAATGAGGTTAAGTTAAGCCTTGGTAGTGCAGTAGCAACCAGAAGGGTGGACAGACGGACGTGGAAATAAGCTCTACCACGGCTACACTAATTACTAATTAGTGCCCCCTTTCTCACCCCTCCAACCTGCTAGCACGTGTGGAACTCGGATCTTTTTCTGTTCTGTGTCTCTCTATTTACGGTATTCGGCCACAGCTTTGACGACATTTAAACCATCTTTTGGGTGATCTCGGTTTTGCTGACGCCAGAAATGTCTTCCTGCAGTTCAGTTACACATGTCGTCTTCACAGTCTACTCGGACACTGTTAAATATTTGTTGCTGGTCGTAACAATCGATCAAAGATCATAGTACAGATACTTCAAACAAAAGCTGTTAGTTGTTCAACTGTTCAAGAAATTTCCTCCTGTATAACTGTAACCATTAGGTAAATTTAAAAATAATATACCCACATAAACGTACGTTATTTTAACAGCTGTCAGATTATGAGCTGTTCTTTCGATGTCGGCAGTAGTTCCCCATCGCTGGATGTTGTTAATCGGTCATCGAAGGTAACACATTTTCGATTCATCTCTTATGACGTGTCCCATTTAATTTTCCCAGGTTTTAGTGTCATATGTTAATGACGTATCAACTTTGAAAGTAAGCCTTTGCCAGCGTTCATGGGAAAAATTGTCAATAATATATTTGTGAGAGTTATTGTCCTTATAAATTAGTATCGAACTTTAGGTCCACATTTAACACTATTTTCACTGCAATACATGGATTATTTTCGATTTTAGCCAGTCATCAACAACGCCCTGCCGTGGCCACGGAGTGTTGGATAGATTTGAAAACCTGACGCTATAACACAATTTTGTACACTCCTTGTTCCAAATCTTCCATAATTTTTACAAACCGTTTAAGGAATCCTTACCGTTCGTCTCTGCATGATAATAACCTAACTTTTGTAGACTCAAAGACTAGAAGTATCTCTTTTAAAGAACATTGTAACGTCTAGTGTGAAGATTAAGTTAATCAGATGTCTTTCTTTTCAGGTGGGGTTTTCCATTCCGTTGAACAGACCGGTAAGCAAATTCCATTTTCTTTTACCCCCCCCTTGTAGTGTAGTGTCTGCCCAAAGGTTTAATGCGGAGCATTGTTTATATAACAATTTCTCTAACAAATAATAAATTTTGTATTTGTCTTCTCTACATAGCCTAAAATTTCCCAAATAATTCTGTCCCACTCGAAATTACAATGATTTCGTTTGTTTTCGAGAACTGAAACACCAATTCAAACACGATTTTATATAACATTGTTCTTTTAAAATTTGGCAAATTAGTCCCACTATTAATTGGTACCAGCAGGGAATTCATTGCTGGTGGATCATTTTTAAAACGAATTAGAGCTTGCTTCTGCTGCTAAATCCACATTGTGAATCAGTTTACAACTCCTACCACAACTATGCAACGTGCTAATCGCTTATGCAATCAAACTGTATGTACACATCAGAGCGAAATGCGAAAAGGTAAATCACATCGTTAACATTAATTTCAAGATGCATTCTTATGATAATAATTTCTGATTTGTTTTTCAAATCGTTCATAGAAGAAATGTTCCTTAATGTGTGACCGTTTCTTGGCTCCCAACAGTTTTCTCGGCCAGAAACCAACAAAATTACATTTCAAGCTAATATTTTTGTCTACATCAGGTAAATATAAAACTGAATAGATATTAAATAAGTTGTGGAGAACAACAATAATAATATTAAGTAATTGGAGTCCCCTTTTTGCATCAACACTGACTCGTAAAGCCACTTTAAAGTGTGCCCAAAATTACTTTTAAAATAATTACGACGCATGGAATTAAAGTACACTTAAATATTTCCTTTACAGATTTATAAAACGTACGACATGTTAATCCATAAATGACAAGGGATAGTTAAAATCAGAAAGAGCATTTTAGATATTCTCTCTCACTGTAAGCTACAGCAAATAATTTCAACTTGTTTCTCTGTAAAGCACGCACAAGAGAGTTTAAGTCCTATTATCCTCTTTGTCTGCTTGTAACCTGATCTGCCTTTGACGTCCATACCATCCGAAAGCTTATAGAAGTGCGTATGTTATTGTAAAACACTAAAATCACTATTGAATCCCATGAAATATACTCCATTCCCGTTTCAGTCGTGATTTTTATCTGCGTGCAAAACCGAATTGTTTCCACGTACAAACATGCCGATCTGTACTAACGCATCTAATTCTGTCTTCCCCCCCTTCTCTGTGTATAAAGTTTCATTTCAAAAGCATTAGAATATCAAACGCGCAGGCTAATAGCGCGCTATCAGGCCTGGCTGCTTCAGTAATTCAGTTAATCCAATCGTCACCATTCTGCTGTATAATCGTAAATCGCACGGTTCATCATGGTGATTGATTGATGCATATTCGCATGTAAATGCTCGACAATCAGTTTCGGAAGGACGGACGGACAAGCTTCCAGTGGGCATGGAATGATGAGATCGCACTCATGTTTACAGTGCCAACTCTCGGCTCAATAATCGAACACAGAGGTGGATTTGTACGCCCACAGATAGTTGACATTTTGTACAGATTAAAAGTGCAGTTGTGGTTGATTATTTTCTAACTAAACTGCACATTTTCCGATGCACTTTTAACCGCGTACACTACGTATTCAGTTTTAAAACACCGTGCTGCTGATGAAATAACAGGTCCGTGCTGAAAACTGCGTGGAATATTTAATGATTAAATGTTGGAGCTATCGAATTAAAATTAATTGGTATCCTGTTTTCGAGCGTACATAAAAACCGAAATATGCCATTTCCAATAGAATTTATTATTATAATTGAACCATTCCAGTATTTCAGAACGTATTTTATACGCTCTCGTCGCTGTCACAAGCCTATTATTTATGAAAGACTGCTGTAAAATAGCCCAGAGCTGGCTTCTGTAACTCATACCGACATAGTTCTGAAAAAAAAATTTCGCACAAAGTAGAATTTGAGGTTTACACGGCGGTGTCTGAAGATGGCTGTCTTCTGGGCGTAGTCTGGTAGAAGTTTAGCGACGTTTCAGAGGTCCTTACTGCCTCCATCATCAGGGCCCTGCGCAACAACCCAGAAGACAGCCATCTTTGTTCCGCACAAAAATCTAAAATTTTAAAAAGTAGGAAGTTAATCGTAAAGGCGACGAGAATTTTTAATAAAATAATATCCCTGAAATATTTTGTCTAACTCAATAAACTAGAGTCCTGTTTGAGAGACTGATAGTAACTCAGCTGACCACAAATTATCAACCTTTTATGTAACCCCAAAGGTGAATAGTCGTATTCATAAACTCCCACAAGTTAAGGTCAATTTTAATATTATCCTTCTGTCAGCAGCTAAGTATCTCTAGTTCCCGTCAGATTTTTAACTAACACTTTGTGTGCATTTCTCGTCTCCTCATTTGTGCTACATGTCTAGCTTATGTCATCTTCCTTGATTTTGTTTTGGTGATCAAATATTTTGAAGAGCAGAATTATGAATATTTTCCTTATGCAGTTCCCTCCACTCTTGATTCTTTTTCTGCTCTTTTCGGTCCATATATCCTCCTCAGCATCCTCTCGATCAGACTAGGTCTGTGATGACGTAGCATTCAATAAATTGTCGGATATCCGAAAATAAATTTCGACCGCAGGACAATCGAGGACGTTATAAGCCCACAGAATGTTAGGTCCACCAACCAGCACAAGGTTTATTTGGGAGCAGGAACAAACATGTCGGTACAAATTTATATTTCTCTTATACGTTATTCAAGTCTGTTTTCCAACAGCTAGCTCAGTGGTCTCGGCCTTAAAATTGTTCTGTTGGCTCACGAAGTTAGGGAGGGCGTAGCATAGAAGATTGCGTCTGTTGACATTTCCCATCAGCGGTTTCAGAACGACTACTGTGCTTGCAAGACGAAGTCTGTCCCTTCCTTGCCCTGTTCCTTGTTTGCCGATCTGCCAGTACGTGGTTAGTTGCAGGTCTAATCAGATCACTCAGACAGGTAAGGAGACACACAGACAATTATTCAGTGGCTAGCTGCCAGGGGTCGAGAACATTTGGCCTGTTGGCCTCATTTCTCACGCGTTCGTAGAGAAAAGATGTACAAAATATTCCTGTTAACTCCACTGTGTGTATTTATGTGTCCATCTGTCTGATAATAACATCAAATTGATACTTGATTGTGTAGACTGATAAGTACTCTGTTTTAATTTTCTTTTGTGATCATTAAAATGTTTCGTATTAATGTGGAATGTTTTACTGAAGGAAATAAATCAAATTTGGATGAGTTAAAGAAATTTTGAAAGTTTATCTATATTTTGCAATATTATTTTCTGTATAAATCGGAAGTATTGAAAACAGGAATAAAACTCGTTGTGTTAAGGTATTTGGCGTGGGCACAAAAAATGATAAGAGGTGAGACAAGATAGCCAATCCCAGCGTTCGACTAATGTATCAAAGTATTAATCAAAAAAAATAGTGATAAGACACTGATTTGATCTCGGAATAAAATAATTGACTTTTATCCAGAAGTGAGAAGATGTCGCATCTTGGCACTGTACCAGTCTACACAATAGAATACGCGATTAATTAGAGAGATGACAGTTTCTAAGATTTAACCTAATTTTATTGAAATCGGTGCGATTAACCTGGGGTGAGACATGGCGTTCAGTCCATGATTCAGAAAGCTGAAGAAGAGATCCGGTTAAATTCCGAGCTTCTCGTGATAAACAGTCATCCACTCACTCTCTCTTTCTACCGCGAGGTTTGGCACAGTAGGGTGTTGGTCAACACATGGGTGACGTTAAAAACTCCCATAACGTGCATGAGTGAATAATTGAAAAAGTGCCATGCGAGGGGCGGGGGATTTTATAATTTAATTTGTGGTTTGCAGTTTAAATAATGTGATGTAATCTAATTTATTTATGTGGTAACCCTTCTCTTGTATGCTGCACCTATTATATAGAACATGTTAAGTTATAGTCAATGTCATGACTCGAAATCATGAATATTGAAAGGAGTTCATAGCTACTTTAAAATATACGTCGCTGAGCAAATTTTCTACACAAGACTGAAGAAGACTTTCTGTTGCCCAGACAGTAATTGAACAGCGTAAACTGTCGGGGCACATTCCGTGCACAGATGTCACACCGGGATCTGATAACGAGTTATATTTCTTCCATAGGCCGTAATCTATCGATTCTCTAAATGTATGTGACAGTGGTGTACTCATTAGTATTCTAAAATCCCTGAGTTCAATTCCAAAGCCCAAAACGTTGTGTATCAAGTGTACACCAAGCAATGGACAATGTCCAATATCCAGTAAGTCTTTTGCAGTGTCTTCACGAAAGTCATGACATAGTAAACCTACTTCTAAATCGGCACGTTAGTTAAATTCCGCGTTGAACTATAAATAATTAAGTGCATGGAGCAAAGCTCTTCTTGAGAAGCTAATAGCAGAACTATACTCAGATAGTGAAGGAATACGTCACCATTTTTGAACCGTAATGTTTATTACCTTGCTCAAAAG